ACCGAGACAAAGTCAACTCAGTCATCGAAAATAACAAGAAAAGATACTATCTACATGAATTACAAGATGTTAAATCACCCAAACAACTCGTTCAGACTACCAATGCTATTCTGGGAAAAGAAGCAATATCTCCTCTCCCCTCTGCAACATCAGATGACACATTTTGTAGTTTATTTGTGACTTTTTTCAATGACAAAATTAATACCATACCCTCTTCTCTCGACCTAGAGCCAAATGGAAATTTGGAATTTTCAGAATTTACTGGACAGATATTAGATTCTTTTAGTTCAGTTACAAATAGTGATATTTTAAATTGTATTAATGAATCAACCATAAAGACATATGACCTTGACCCAGTGCCTGCTCATGTACTCATAACATGTATTGAGATTGTCCTACCTCACATTACTCAGATAGTGAATTTGTCACTTGCCACAGGCACAGTGCCTAATACTTTCAAACAAGCTATTGTAAAACCTTTATTGAAAAAACCCGGGCTTGATAGGAATGAATTTAAAAAACTATCGACCAGTTTCGAATTTCAAATTTGTCTAAAAAATTCTAGAGGAGATTGTTTTAGGTCAAGTATTGTCTCACATGAGAAAAAATGGTCTAGAGGAAATTGACCAATCTGCCTATAAAACTCGCCATTGTACTGAAACTGCGCTTTTAAAAGTAACGTCTGATTTATTGGATTCCGTTGATAGCAAAAACATCTGTCTTTTAACTCTTTTGGATCTGTCCGCAGCTTTTGACACAATTGACCATGCTATTATATTCTTCTCACAAGACTTGAGCGCTCATTTGGCTTATCTGGTACTGTGCTTTCATGGTTTAAGTCATATTTACTAGAAAGAGTTCAGTCAGTGCAAATTAAAAATAGCTTTTCAAAGCAGGTCAGACTCGATTATGGAGTTCAACAGGGGTCCGTTCTTGGACCAATGCTCTTTACACTTTATACACAGCCCTTAGCAAGCATTTTACAAAATCATGGATTGATTTATCATTTTTATGCCGATGATTCCCAAATGTATGTTAATGGCACCATTCAAGATCTGTCAAACATGATTTCTATCACTAAACAATGTTTTTATGAAATTAAAAAGTGGATGACAGTAAACAAATTGAAAGTAAACGAAGAAAAGACAGACATCATTCTTATAAAAAAATCCACGATTACATAAAGATTTGGAAAGTGTCAACTTTGATTTATATGGGCATATGCCATCAAGTAAAGAAGTTGTCAGGAATCTCGGTGTATATATTGACCACCACTATCAATGAGCTCGTTTGTAGGATTTCTGTCCAAATCCCTTTATTTTCAGCTGAGAAGGATAGGCCTAATTCGAAAGTACTTAAACGAAGAGACCACAAAAAACACTGGTAACATCTCTTATCCTATCAATATTAGACTATTGTAACTCACTCCTAGCAGGTCTGAACAACAAATATTTGAATCTTTTACAAGTAATTTAAAACAATGCCGCTAGACTGATAGCAAGATCTAAAAAACGAGACCATGCCACTCCATTATTAAAAGAACTGCATTGGCTCCCTGTAAAAGAAAGAATAATATTTAAAATCTGCGTCATGTGTTTCACATGTGTAAATAAAACTGCTCCTTTTTATCTACAATAACTTATCAGTATATATAAGCCAGGGAGAAACCTAAGATCATCAAACGATAACACCCTACTTGTGACACCTGTAAAGTCATACAAATCATAAAAATATGTAGAGAGATCTTTCTCATGTCTTGGTCCATTTATGTGGAACAGATTACCCATGAAACTAAGACAAAGAAAAACACTAGATAGCTTCAAAAGACATCTTAAACATTTTCTGTTCCTACAGGCCTATCCTTCATAAGTTTTTAACGTTATTTTTCATTATAGTTGTTCTGTTCTTATGTCTGGATGAAAATAGTCTGTGTGTGTGTGTGTGTGTGTGTGTGTGTGTGTGTGTGTGTGTGTGTGTGTGTGTGTGTGTGTGTGTGTGTGCGTGCGTGTGTGCGAGTGCATTAATGTATATTGCATGAGAAGAAAGGAAGTAGTAAGAAAAGTTTTTGAAAAATGGGTATTCCCATGTAAAGCGCATTGAGCTGCTTTTTTGGAAATGCGCTATATAAATGTTTATATTATTATTATTATTATTATTATTATTTTTATTATTATTATTATTATTATTATTATTATTATTATTATTTATTTATTATTTATGAATCTTATTCAAACGGCCTGATGGCAAAAGAAAACTGCATTATCAGTTTGTTTTAGTTAAACTTGTTGAAATCCTTCTCTCTCTCCCCTTTTGTTCTCTCTCTCTCTATCTTTTTTTCTCTCTCTTCTCTCTCCCTCTCCCTCTCGCTTCTCTCTCTCTCTCTGTCTCTCTCTGTCTCTCTCTGTCTCTCTCTCTCTCTCTGTCTCTCTCTCTCACGCACTCTCTCTCCTCACGCCCCACGACCCCGTGTGTGTGAATGCTTGCAAACATGGTGTCGGTAGTGTCAAGTGAGATTGCGGGTTTGGGGGTTCCACGCCCAGTTTGGACCTACGTTGTGTCCTTGGGAAAGGCACTTTACATAAATTTTTCAATTTGGTTTTGTCCTCAGAGATGGGCATTGAGTTTAACTGTCGTGCCTCTTAAGTGACCTTACAATGTTGCACGGGCATGAAACCTGTTCACATTTGCACATTTTTCCCGTGCACGGTGACAACACAAAGAATTAAGTAAAATCACGCATGAATGGCGTTATCTGTAATGTACTAAGAAGAAACAAGGAAGACGGATAGAAAGAGTTGGGATTGGCTAATATGAAATTTTCAGTTCCCTCAACTGCCTTCATCGCAGTTACAAGTGAGGTACCAATATATAAAACTAGCTGAATACCCGTTCGATGAACAGACTCATAAGAAGCGATTGTCAAGTCATTGTAGAACCAGTGCGCATTGCTTGTGAACGGAAGCCTCACTTATTACACTATCGTCTTAGAAGACGGACTTTCCCAAGATTAGATCTAAACGAAACTAATGAATAACTGAAAATTAAACTTACGTGACTTCAGACTCTTTAATATAACTGTATATCCTTTAAATAATTATTAATCACTGTTATTTATTTTAGTTAAACTCGAAAGTTGAGTGGTTCGGAAGTTTTAGGCGATCAAGGTGGCGAACTTTCTCAAATATACATGAAGTATAATATATAGATAGGTGGCTAGAGGATGCCACAAGTAGACCCCTACTTTTTTCTTTCTCTTTTTTGACTTTATCTGTGTTTCTAGCAGTAAAGGAATTATCGTTTCTGTGTACATCTATTTTCCTAAATTCAAACTCATGAAGGACTCATGATCATAGATCTAGTTATAATTTGCATTTGATGCATATTTCAACAACGTGTGCGTGTGTGTGTGCTTGTGTGTGTGTGCTTGTGTATGTGTGCTTGTGTGTGTGTGTGTGTATGTGTGTGTGTGTGTGTGTGT